TCTATAAAGATAACTGCATGGATCAAAACATTTTAGAGGCTGGGCACAGTGACTTATCTCTGTAATCCCAGCACTTTGGGAGTCTGAGGCAAGTGGATTGCTTGAGTCCAGGAGTTTGAGACCAGCCTGGGCAAAATGGTAAGACCCCACTCTCTACAAAAAAATATAAAAAATTAACTAGACATAGTGGCTTTAGGCTATCCCAAGAGTTAGTTAACTCTCTGTCCCAAGAGCTACTCAAGAGGTTGAGGTGGAATGATTGCTTGAGCCTGGGAGGTGGAGGTTGCAATGAGCTGAGATTGTGCCACTGCACTCCAGCCTGACTCCAGCCTGGATGGATGAGACTGCTTCTCAAAAAAACAAAAAAGAAAAAGAAAAAGAAATTTTAATGGGGACTAGATATTTGATATTAAGGGATTATCCATTTTTTAGACATGTAATGGTAATACAATTTTTTTTTTGAGACGGAGTTTCACTCTTGTTACCCAGGCTGGAGTGCAATGGCGCGATCTCGGCTCACCGCAACCTCCGCCTCCTGGGTTCAGGCAATTCTCCTGCCTCAGCCTCCTGAGTAGCTGGGATTACAGGCACGCGCCACCATGCCCAGCTAATTTTTTGCATTTTTAGTAGAGACGGGGTTTCACCATGTTGACCAGGTTGGTCTCGATCTCTCAACCTTGTGATCCACCCGCCTCGGCCTCCCAAAGTGCTGGGATTACAGGCTTGAGCCACCGCGCCCAGCTAATTTTTTTTTTTTTTAAGATGGAGTCTTGCTCTGTTGCCCACTGCATTATGGAATGCAGTGACGCGATCTCAGCTCACTGCAACCTTCTACTCCTTGGTTCAAGCGATTCTCCTGTGTCAGCCTCCCAAGTAGCTGGGATTACAGGTGCAAGCCACCACTCCTGGCTCATTTTTGTATTTTTAGTAGAGGTTTCACCATGTTGGCCAGGCTGGTCTTGAACTCCTGACTTCAGGTGATCTGCCCACCTCAGCCTCCCTAAGTGCTGGGATTACAGGTGTGAACCACTGGCCCGACCATATGATTTTTTAAAAACTATAATCTTTTAAAGTTCTTGTCTTTTAGAGGTATTTATTAATATGGTGTTTTATTAGAGATTTGCTTCAAAATAATATGAGGAAGTGGGGGCATAAATGAAAAAATCAATTTTGAGTTGATAATTTTTGAAACTGAGTGATGATACATGTCTTAATTTTTTATTTAATTAAAATTTGTATCTCATTAAAATTAGCAGAAAAGGAACCACTACGATTTCGATTCAGAGACTCATAGTTGTATGAAAATTTGCCTCTTCACTTCATTACAGTATGGTTCCCAAATTTACTATCCATCCAAGTGTTCCTCTTTTTTGAGACAGAGTCTCGCTCTGTCACCCAGGCTATAGTGCAGTGGCGCAATCTCAGCTCACTGCAACCTCAGCCTCTCAGATTCAAGCAGTTCTCCTACCTCAGCCTCCTGAATAGTTGGGATCACAGGCATGTGCCACCACGTCCAACTAATTTTTGTATTTTTAGTAGAGACGGGGTTTCACTATGTTGGCCAGGCTAGTGTGGAGCTCTCGCCCTTAGGTGATCCATCCGCTTTGACCTCCCGAAGTGTTGGGATTACAGGTGTGAGCCGTCCCGCCCGGCCATTTCCCTCTTGATGTGGTACTGTATTCACTATGGGCTGGCCTTGAATATCTGAAATTTGCATCTCTGTTTAGCAGTTTTGAAATAAAAAATGAGAAATTAAAACGCCCCTTAATTAAGAATTACACTTCAACATGATTTTTTTTAGTGTGATAAGTATCCAGTTCTTTATAGAAGAAAATTGGAAAGGGGGAAAAATTTGTTTTTTTTTTCCATATGAGAAATTAAAGATTTGGTATGGAAAGAGGTTAAATATGTGGAATGATAGTTTGGAAAGATCTATTTTTTTTTTTCCAGGAAGATTTTTAGAATCTGGATGTACATGTTAACACTGCATGTTTGGTAATTCCTGTCTTCTTTGTTCAAAAATAGTTGAAAGGCTGTCCTTGCCATGATCAGGGCTATTAAAAAAAAAAAAAAAAGTTGAAAGGATTTGTATGCCATGGATCACTTGGAAGACCACAGAGAATGTTGGTGTTCTTGAGAATCTTGGTAGAAATATTACATACTGCATTTTATTATGTTAGGAAAGATTTCTTTTTGATAACTAGAAAACTACAAGAAGGATCTAAATTTTCATTTTCTATTTTTGGTTTGCCTAGTATTTACATTAGGTCGATATCTCTTTTGTATCATGTTTTTGACCCTGAGTTACAGATGCTGAAAGTGAAAGGAATTGATCACATCCTGAGATAACAAAGTATAGGTCAGAATCAAGGACTAAGTGTTTTGAAAAACTTGGTTTCAGTGTCTTTCAGAGATGTTTTGTGTATAAGTCTGTGAAATACGTTCAGTCAGCAGAACTAATACTTTCTGAGTTGACAAACCTTATTTATTAACTCCATCTTGTATGTTGTTAAAGAACATGAAAAATATTTCCCTGTAAGTTGGATTTTCTTTCTTTTTTTCTTTTCTTTCTTTCTGTCTTTCTCTCTCTCTCTTTCTTTCTTTTCTTTCTTTCTTTCTGAAATGGAGTGTGGTTTCTGTTGCCCAGGCTGGAGTGTAGTGGTGCAATCTTGGCTGACTGCAACTTCTCTCTCCCAGGTTCAAGCGATTCTCTTGCCTCAGCCCATTTGTTTTTTATTATTTTATTTTCTAGAGATGGGGTATTGCTCTCTAGCTCTCCAGCCTAGGCTGGAGTACGGTGGTATCATTGCATTTACCATAACCTCAAGCCCACTGTAACCCTCGATGAACTCCTGGGCTCGAGTGATCCTCCCAGCTTAGCCTCCCAAGTAGCTGGGACCACCAGCATGTGCAGCACTCCTGACTAATTAAAATGTGTGGGTATGTAGTCTTGCTCTATTACCCAAGCTGGATTTCTTTCCATTTCTCTTAGAAGGCCTTTTTCATGTGAGGAATAACAAATAGATTTTGATGGTCAAATGGAAGAAATTTTCAGTATTCTTACTAAAGTTCATTGTTTTATGAAAGATATAACTGAAACTTGTAAGATATTGTAAATACTTAAGATAAAAGAACACCCTTTTGGATATGCTATTAAAATAACCACAGGCATGACATTGAAACCACAATTTGTATTCTGATTGAAAACCGCAATTTGTATTCTTATTGCTCTTCATATTCCAAAGGAAAGTGTTCCACAGATTGCTTAGCATATGTGCGGAGAGTTTGCTTGTAACTGGTCGGGACAAAAGTAAGATAATCAGCAGAGGTTATTATCCACAGTTTATATTCATTCTGCTGAGTCTTGGATATTTACACATTAATTATCTGTTGACTGTAAGCTCTAAGAAAGTTATATAGCAAAGAACAATGGAATAAAATTTATTTAAGGAAAAAGTTGTTTAAAATATATTTTGTAGTGGAATTAGACTGGAAAACAAAGGCATGTGTTGTTTTTGTCTCAAAGAATACCTGTGATATGGATTTGATTTATTTTTAATTCAGTTTCTGGCTAGTGTTGTCTTTATATAATTAAGCATGAAAATAAGAGAATTTAAGTCGATCCCTTAAATCTTTTTTTTTTTTTCTCACCCCCTCTGTGGCTTTGGTTTAGAAAGACAGAAATAATTAAAATAGAAGATTAAAGGCCAGTTAGAATCCAGTTAAGCACTTTACCCATTAAAACCCAAACTGCCCTTGGCTATAGCTAACTCACTGGGGCATTGCAAGATACTTTCAATTTTTAAGGGAAGCAATGCCATCTGTTGGGCATCTTGCAAACTACTACTGTCAAGTTGTATGACCCTAACCAAATACTTAATAAACAGAAAGGTTAGTTGTTTGGTTTTGGTTTTGGCTTATGGATGTAGTAGCAGGAATTACTAAGACACTAAGGACACTGAGAGCCTTTGAAGTAAAGACTTTGTTTGAACATTGAGCAGTAATAATAGTACTCTGATTCCAAGACAAAGAAACTGACCCTAAGTAAACTGTTACTGGGGGCAGAATAGCAGTAACTCTTTGTTTGCAATGCTGAGATCCAGACTTTAATTGTTTAAAGGGGCATCTAATTTAGGCAGTGTTTTCAAATTAAGGGTTGACTCCAAAATCACAGTGGAGTAGCCTCCAGAATTTCCTAGACTAGAAGTACAAGGTAGTAGTAAGACTGGGACTAGTATGTCAAGAGGTTCTCATCTTAGGCGCAGAATTTAAAGGAGTACAGAGAGGTTCGGTAATCACAATAAATGCATCATTTTTAAAAGATGAATATTAATGCAAACCCCTTATAATGAACAAAATCTCTATTTTAAATAAAGACTGGATCCGATCCTGCACTTGTTTGACTCACCTCACTGTCCTCATCCTAACCCTGGCCCTGGGTATTACACATTAAACTTTTATAATTTTATTTTTTTATTTTTTATTTTTTTTTGAGAGAGAGAGAGCCTCACTCTGTCCCCTAGCCTGGAGTGCAGTGGTATGATCTCAACTCCCTGCAACCTCTGCCTCCTGGGTTCAAGCAATTCTCATGCCTCAGCCTCCCAAGTAGCTGGAATTACAGTGTGCACCAACACGCCTGGCTAATTTTTGTATTTTAAGTAGAGATGGGGTTTTGCCATGTTGTCCAGGCTGGTTCTCTAACTCCCAACTTCAGGTAATCCACCTGTGTTGGCCTCCCAAAGTGCTGAGATTACAGGCAGGAGCCACCACGCCCGGCCTGTAATCATAATTATCACAGAATTTGCTGTGGATTGGATTCTAATATTCAACCATAAAAGTTGTAATTCTGAACTCTGGGAAATGGAGGAAGGCTAGGGGATATGGTAAAGGAACCCAAGGAGGTAGGTTACCGATGGAATCAAAGTTCTGATTTCATATTTGATATAAAGCAATATCTCCTATTCCTAGGCCCATATCTTATTTGAATGTTTTTCTTGTAGCATGGCGGACACCGATCTGTTCATGGAATGTGAGGAGGAGGAGTTGGAGCCATGGCAGAAAATCAGTGATGTCATTGAGGACTCTGTAGTTGAAGATTATAATTCAGTGGATAAAACTACCACAGGTAACAAAAGCTCTTCTCATCAAAGATGGTTGTTTGATTAAATTGAATGGCATTTTGGTTCAAAAAGTGTGAGAAGAAAAAGAACTTTGAGAATCCAGGGAGACCTCATTGTGGCACTGGTTCTACCTTTTTTTTCCAAGATCTAGTCTGTGAAAACCTCAGTTTCCTCATCCATATAGCTAGAAACTATATATTTAATTCATCAAAAACATTGGAAGGTTGGATTAACCAGTGTTTATCAAATATCTAGCAGTCTTCTTACTAAAAGATGTATGAACAAGAATTCAAAGTGGTGGTGTGTGTGTCAGTGCTTATTTATGTACCCAGTCAAAAGGAGGTTCCCAGAGTCTTGATTTTTTTTGTTTGTTTTATTTTGTTTTTCTTGAACTTGGTTTCCTTTGTGAGCTGAGTAGAAATTGCTTTGTGTCTGCCTTCATGGACAGTTTACAAATTTAGGCTTGTTAGCTTTTCTTTCATAAAGGTGATACTGCTGGGTCAAATTCTAGATTGCCCTGAATTCAGAAAATGGGTGATAGTTCTTTTTTTCCCCTAAATTGTACCAGTTGTTCTTTATTTTTATCTCCCTGCCTTGAGAGCTGAAGATGGCATTGGTTTAGGCTGAACTAGGACACAGGTCAGGGTCTTTTGGATGGCTTAATATGCATGGTTATGAATACCACTAGTGGCAAAAATGAACCTTTGAGTTTGCTAGTGCCATGTAAGCAAAACATTAAAATCCCAGTTCAGTGGGCTCAGTGGTGTAACTTAATTAAGCAGGAGATGTGAGACAAAGAAGGAATTGTGTCTAAATGGTGGACTAAGGGATAAGTAGGAGGAGAAATCACATGAACAATTAGATGTATGAAACCGGAAACTGGCTATAGCCCACAAGAAGATGGAAAGGGAAGATTAGAGCAGTATCCTTTAGTGTCATCTGTCCCTGTCTCCAAGTGACTGTGCCTCCCCTTCCCCACAGTTTCTGTGAGCCAGCAGCCAGTCTCGGCTCCAGTGCCCATCGCTGCCCATGCTTCTGTTGCTGGGCACCTCTCTACATCCACCACCGTTAGTAGCAGCGGGGCACAGAACAGCGACAGTACAAAGAAGACTCTTGTCACACTAATTGCCAACAACAATGGTAAGTGGGATTATTGGGAAATAATCCTGGGCTAGAGGGATGAAAGAATAAAAAAGGTCTTAGGAACAGCCATACCTGTTCAGTTAGATACAGATGTGCTTCTACTAGTTGGAAAATGAATTGAGTAATGGTATGAAGTGATTCTGTAGATTGTACAGTCCTTCTAAGTTAGTGCTGACTTGATACTGGCGTTTCAAGTGAGAGAACAGTAGATTCTTGCTACTGATAATTTCTAGGACAGAAAATATCAACTCAAAATTCTTAACTGTTAAAGAGATCTGGGGCTTTTTTGGTTTGGTTGGTTGGTTGTTTTGTTTCTTTAATTAGAAGAATTCTGTTAGTTTGGTAAGAATTTCCCAGGGCAGTTTTTCTCTGGCAGATTTATTTGTTTATTGGTTTCTGAGTATGGAAGATAGGATAGGGTTGTTGTCTACGTGAATGAAATGTTGAAAGACTAGTGTTTATAGTGTTTTTTTTTCTAGAGAGGCTATATAGTAATTGGTTTCTGTTTAGTTTCTGATGTCTATTTCTGTACTCTGAAGATGAGTTACTGACCAATTATATCTCAGGATTCACAACTGAAATAGGCACTTTTCATAGAATCATCGCATTGCTACAAGAGACTTTATTTTTTAATTATTTTATTTCCTTTAAAACTAAAATAGCTTTATCACTACAAAAATAATATATGCAGCTGGGCACGGTGGCTTATGCCTGTAATCCGAGCAGTTTGGGAGGCTCAGGCTAGCAGATCACCTGAGGGCGGGAGTTCGAGACCAGCCTGGCCAATAATTGTGAAATCCCTACTAAAAATACTAAAATCTCTACTAAAAATACAAAAATTAGGTGGGTGTGATGGTGGATGACTGTAATCCCATCTACTTGGGAGGCTGAATCGGGAGAATCCCTTGAACCCAGGAGGCGTAGGTTGCAGTGAGCCGAGATCATGCCACTGCACTCTAGCCTAGGCAACAAGAGCAAAACTCCATCACTCTCACACACACATGCACACACACACACACAAACACACACACGTGTATGTATGTATGTGTGTGTGTGTGTGTGTGTGTGTATATATGCATTGCAGAAAAACTATAAAGTGAAAAAAATCAGAAGGAAGAAAAAACATTTTTTCACCATAATCCCACCACCTGGAGATAACTGATTGTTACTTTTATTCTGTATGTATATTTATTTATATATATCTCTATATGTTATATGTAGTGATTTTCTTTTTTTTTTTTTTTTGAGACGGAGTTTCGCTGTTGTTACCCAGGCTGGAGTGCAATGGCGCGATCTCGGCTCACCGCAACCTCCGCCTTCTGGGTTCAGGCAATTCTCCTGCCTCAGCCTCCTGAGTAGCTGGGATTATAGGCACGCGCTACCATGCCCAGCTAATTTTTTGTATTTTTAGTAGAGACGGGGTTTCACCACGTTGACCAGAATGGTCTCGATCTATTGACCTCGTGATCCACCCACCTCAGCCTCCCAAAGTGCTGGGATTACAGGCTTGAGCCACCGCGCCCGGCAGTAGTGATTTTCTTTTTGCAAAAAAGATTATACAAATTGTACGTTACTCTTTGCCCACTTTTTCCCCTTAATAGTTTATATCTTATTTTAATAGTCATCTATAACATTTTTGATGACTGACTGTATTTTCCATTATTTGATTAACTTATTAACAATAGGTTGTAAGAGGGTATATTGCTATTTTAAAGAGCTTCAGTCAACATTTTCTATCTCTCTTTTCTCATATCATTAATTAGTTCTGCAAATATATTTCTTTTTTTTTTTTTTTTTTTTTGAGACGGTGTTTCGCTCTTGTTACCCAGGCTGGAGTGCAATGGCGCGATCTCGGCTCACCGCAACCTCCGCCTCCTGGGTTCAGGCAATTCTCCTGCCTCAGCCTCCTGAGTAGCTGGGATTACAGGCACGCACCACCATGCCCAGCTAATTTTTAGTATTTTTAGTAGAGACGGGGTTTCACCATGTTGACCAGGATGGTCTCGATCTCTTGACCTCGTGATCCACCCACCTCGGCCTCCCAAAGTGCTGGGATTACAAGCTTGAGCCACCGCGCCCGGCCTGTAAATATATTTCTAAAAGTCAAATTGTTGGCTCAGAGGTCATCACAGTTTATAAGAATTGGGATCAGTATTGTTCCTGGATTGGCCATCTGGAATTGTTATATCAGTTTATATTTCTGTTAGAAGAGCGTATGATTTTTAATTTGGAGATGCATCAGTTTATGTATGCACTCCCCTATTCTTGGACGTTTATTAGGGTCCCATCTTTTGTGATTACAAATGATACTGTGGTGAACATTCTCAGGCATGCGTCTTTGCCCACTGTGTAAGCGTTTCTTCAGTATAAAGTCTTAAAGGTGAGATTTGCTGGATCAAGTGTTTATAATTAAATAGACGTTGTCAAGTTATCCTAATAGGTTGCTCTAAATAAGTGTCCACCAATAGCTCTTTCTCCGTTTTGTTGTCAACTTTAGGTATTATCAGACTTTTAAAACTTTATAATTTCCAAAGGTTTTCAGTATTTGGGTACTCAAAATATGATTATGTTATGAGAAATCTTTCGACTTCTAAACAACTTATAAATAGGGACCTTTCTATATGTAAAGACGGGGAACCATTTATGTAGAGAATTCTCTTATTTTACAGATGTGGAAACTGAGGCCTAGAGAGTCTAAATAATTTGCTTTAGTTATAAATAATAACTTAATAGTTACTAAGTGACTGAACTGGATTTGAATTCTCTGGACTTAAAAGCTTTCGGAATTTCCACTGTATTATATTGCGTGTGTGTGTGTGTGTGTGTGTGTGTGAAGCCAGTCAAATTTAGCAGTCGGGGGGGTGTGTACCAACTTTTAGTGACACTAATGTTTATAAGTTCTGATAACCCACTACCATTGGACTAGTCCAGTGTGTCTCTTAAACTGTTAAAAATCTGATAGCAACCAGCGTACCTAACCTTTTCTTTGCTCCCAGGGTTCCAAGGCCCACACGGAGATGGCTGTGCAACTTTTATTTTTCCTGAGTCAGGATCTCGCTTTGTCACCCAGGTTGGAGTACAGTGGCGTGAACACAGCTCACTGTAGCCTCAACCTTCCTAGCTCAGCAGTCCTCCCACCTCAGCCCTCCAAGTAGCGAGTACAGGCACATGACAGCGTGCTGGGGTAATTTTTGTAATTTTTTTTTTTTTTTGAGACAGAGTTTCGCTCTTGTTACCCAGGCTGGAGTGCAATGGCGCGATCTCGGCTCACCGCAACCTCCGCCTCCTGGGTTCAGACAATTCTCCTGCCTCAGCCTCCTGAGTAGCTGGGATTACAGGCACGCACCACCATGCCCAGCTAACTTTTTGTATTTTTAGTAGAGACGGGGTTTCACCATGTTGACCAGGATGGTCTTGATCTCTTGACCTCGTGATCCACCCGCCTCAGCCTCCCAAAGTGCTGGGATTACAGGCTTGAGCCACCGTGCCCGGCCAATTTTTGTAATTTTTATAGAAACAGGGTTTTACCATGTTACCCAGGCTGGTCTCAGGCTCCTGAGCTCAAGTGATCCTCCTCAGCTTCCCAAAGTGAACATTTCTATCAGGTATGAGTGAGCCACCATGCCAGGCCAGCTGAGCATCTATCTTTTTTTTTTTTTTTTTTTTTTTTTTTGAGACGGAGTTTCGCTCTTGTTACCCAGGCTGGAGTGCAATGGCGCGATCTCGGCTCACCGCAACCTCCGCCTCCTGGGTTCAGGCAATTCTCCTGCCTCAGCCTCCTGAGTAGCTGGGATTACAGGCACGTGCCACCATGCCCAGCTAATTTTTTTGTATTTTTAGTAGAGACGGGGTTTCACCATGTTGACCAGGATGGTCTCGATCTCTTGACCTCGTGATCCACCCGCCTCGGCCTCCCAAAGTGCTGGGATTACAGGCTTGAGCCACCGCGCCCGGCCGAGCATCTATCTTATGACATGCTAAGATAACCTAGTCTCTTTGACTCCTTTAGTGTACCCTTGATTCTTGAGCCGGCCTAAGTTCAGTGTACTAATTTTTTCTAAAAGATATAAATTGACTTTATTTACTTCAAAAGCTTCTAATATTTAAGTTAAGATGTTAACCCATAACCCATGTTCCTGAAGAAAAGAAGACAGTGGGTATAGACTGGTAACTACAGTCTTGTGTATTCCTAAATTTTGATGCATAGATAAGCATAAATTAATTGGTCTAATTTATCTCGCTTTATGTGTCTATATAAAAAATACATACAGTTCTTTTTATAACTTTTTTCATCATACACTTTTTTTTTTTGAGATGGAATCTCCCTCTGCCACCCAGGCTGGAGTGCAGTGGTGCGATCTTGGCCCACTGTAACCTCCGCCTCCTGGGTTCAAGTAATTCTCTTGCGTCAGCCTCCTGAGTAGCTGGGATTACAGGCATGCACTAACGTGCTTGGCTAAGTTTTTTTCTATTTTTAGTAGAGATGAGGTTTTACCATGTTGACCAGGCTGGTCTCGAACTGCTGACCTCAGATGATTTGCCTGCCTTCGCCTCCCAAAGTATTGGGATTACAGGCATGAGCCACCACTCCTGGCCCTAGAGATAGGGCTTCAGAATGAAGTGAGTAAGAAATATTGCCTCTTACAACCCAGTTTCCCTTTAAGCCTTCAGTTTAATTGTATTGGTATATTAGCCACTTACTACATTAGTAACATAGCAAATGAAAATAACTTTTTTTTTTTTTTTTTTTTTTTTTTTTTGAGACAGAGTCTCAGTTCATCACCCAGGCTGGAGTGCAGTGGCACAGTCTCATTTTAGTAGAGACAGGATTTCACCATGTTGTCCAGGCTGGTCTCAATTTCCTGACCTCAAGTGATGCATCCGCCATGGCTTCCCAAAGTACTGAGATTACAGATGTGAGCCTCTGCTCCCAGCCAGCAAATGAGAATAACTTTTTAACAATTTGGTATTGTTTCACTTAGTGTACTGGATTCTTT